GAAAGAGTGCTTTAAACACAAAAAAATTCAGAAGAAACTATTCTCAGTTTCCAAGGATAAACTCATAGCTCTGAATGCTTTAAAACAAGCTCTTTCTCACAGCAGATTTTTGATCCTGCATACTGATTTTAAACTCAATCAGAATGTTAAAGGCCTATGAAGAACCTTTGGAGTTTGAGGAGCAAATAGGGAGGACAGCTGAAAAGAATCCAAAAGAAGCTAATGTTTCGTTAATGGTGCCTCAGTATTATTCAATACACAGAATATGGTAAAGGAACAAACTTTCTTGAGTGTAGAAAGCCAGGGTACGTGATGACTATCATGTACTGTGTGAAAACCTAGTAAGATTTAATCTGTTAAAAATTGTTTTTCTTTTACTTGCAGGTATTGGAATCTGTGTGCAGCCTCTGTATCTTGGGGAGGTTGCCCCAAAACATCTTAGAGGTGGTATGGCCATGGGCAGTTCCATCTTTCTGACTGGGGGGATTTTAACAGGACAAATAATTGGTTTGAGGTTAGAAATACATTTTTTTTGGTGTGCCATGTATTGATCACATATAATGAGTTTCAATTCCCTGCAGCTCCTGCAAAGCAGTCCTTGTAGCATTAGTGAATCAGCTTCATACAGAAGATCTACCTGTAGGAAGCTATCACTGCATTATTTCCACTGTTGCAAACCATCTATACTGCCTCCCCATGGAGGTGTTTTCAGATTGGATGGGTCAGCCAGAACAGCTTCAGTAAAGCAGGTACATTTATGCTGAATTGGTATTCCAGTTTCTTGCTGGAGAGAGTGGGGCATTACATAATCCATAAGACCGGACTGAGAGCCAAGACAATTAATTTGTGTGTTTTAGCGCTACGGCTGTTCTGCCTGCTCAGACCAGGTTGCTAAGCGCTTGTATCAAGCTGGGTCTTGAAAACCTCCAAGAATGGAGACTGTACAACCTCAAAACGAACACCTTCTTTCATGAAGTCTGCTGGAAGCTTCCAATTGCCCTGAAAATACCCTGAATACCCTGAAAAATAGCTTATCATCTGTTGTTCCTCTGTGCTGGTACTGAGAGCCATTTGACTTCCTTTTCTGTTTCCATTTTGCCGCTTTCTTAACTGACTTCTTTTGCTGGATACTTTAGGTGTGAAGTCCTACCAGAGTCCACAAAATAAAGTAGAAGACAAATTTCAGGCTATATAGTCTTATCTTACTTAAAGCTAGGATCACTATTTAAAATGCAATACAATTTCTATTTTAATAAGTTTGTATTGCCCACAATGCATCATTTTGCTGACTAGCTATACCAATTTTAATGATTCATTTATATTTAAATACCCTTTCTCATTAGATCAGCTTGAATGGGAGGTGGGATCAGATGACCTCCTGGGTTCCCTTCTAACCTTAATTATTCTGTGATTATCAAAAGCTGATGGATATATTGCTGCTGACCTTAAGGTGAGGTCCTTATGTTTTCACTTTTCCATACTACTAGGAAGCACTGCTTTGGCAAACCTGAAAATAATGCTTAGGACCAACACAGCCGTAAGCAGCAAGCAGTAAGGCAGTGTTGCTTATCTCTTTACTTTCCAAACTTCTTTCTGCTGAGGTTCACAAAAGGTAGGTAACCGGTTACAGGGAAACTTATCTCAAGGGAGAAACATCTTGCTCCCAACAGTCTTCTGAATAGTCACTGCTAGCCAATTACTTGATTTTTTTTTATTTCCCTTTCCACACCTCCCGTAGGGAATTATTGGGTGGAGAAACGTATTGGCCTTTGTTGCTATCCAGCAGCTGTTTCCCAGCGTTTGCCCAGCTTATATTCCTGCCATGGTTTCCTGAAAGTCCCAGATATCTTCTTATTGACAGAGGTGATGAACTGAGCTGTGTCGAAGGTAACTTACAGCGTTTATGTTTTCTCTAAACTTTCAGAAGATCACAATGGTATATGGGGTTCCAGATTTTCCCTTTCTCTTCATCACCACAGCACAATTATATTGCCTTGTGCTTTTTGGCCCATGTTTTTCAGCCAGGGAGCTTACATGGAAAAATGAGTTGTGGAACTCGGGGATCTGTAATGGATTTTGAACAAAACTTCAGACCTTGTTTCAGATACATGTTCATATTTTGTTACTCTCTACGGAAATCTTTGAAGGTTTCATAATTTTTCTCTTAAATTAAATAACATACACAACGTACTTAATCTGTCACTGGTTTGTTCATTTCCCAGGATATATCACAGCTAAATATCAGTTACATTGGATATTTTATTCTATTCAGTGATACTGTTGTACTTTTCCTGTTTAAAAAAAAAAAAATCAAAAGTAATATAATAAAAAAGGAGACAGTATAACTAGCTGAAAAATTAGAGAGTTTTTTATTAACGAAGAGGTCATGTTAAAACGGGAATCATTGGCTATTTGAGTAGAAAATTCCTTAGATCTGTATTTTCAAAATATTTAGTTATCTTTTAAAATCTCCCCTCCCCCACCCTGATATCTAATGTAGGAGAACGATGATAGCTTCAAGTTTTCAGGTTACTTTCTCTTTGAGAGATGTATGACTGTTTTCCTTTTATTCAAACTCTACTCATGAAATAACTATAACATGATATCTGTGAAATACGGCAGAAATTAGCAAGTGAAGCCCATGCGCTATGAGAAGAACTTAAAGCGCAAAAATGTAGGTTACTTCTGATCTTTATTTATCCCGAAATTCCACAATTCTGTTATGTTGCAAGAAGAAATTAATTATCAGAAGACATTTTTTTCATAATAAAATGCCAGAAGGAGACGCCATGGATAGTATTTTACTTCCCAGACAGACCTCATGGAATAGTACTCAAGGAGCAGAGTATTAGCCTTTGTGAGTAAGTAGGTCTACTTAATTCATTCAGCTTGAAGGAATGTCAATTCTTTAAATATGAAAAGGCACTCTCTAAAATAAAATAAAAAATCAAGGGACAGAAGGACATGAAAGGGATCCCAGGCTACAAAAGCCAGACAAGAAAATACTGAATCCCAAAGCTGGATTCTGTAGAGATGAGGATATTCCTTTGTGTCAGAGTGTTCTTTTTGTAAGCTAAATGCTTGTGTGTGAAATTCTTTGTGAAAAATCTCTGACATGCTTTGACACAAATTCTACATATCTGGAAGTTTATATTCATGTAGTACTGGTCAGAAAGAAATCTACAGAAACTGTTTTCTTTGGCTCTTCATTGTCAGGCATCGTATACTGGGAAGCTGGTGCATCAAACTCTTTCTGTACGTAAAACTGGATAAATACCTGCGGAAGTTTTAAATGTTAATGATACACTCAATGATTGTTAAGTCTGCTCTTTTTTCTCACCAAGATAAACCTAGTATCATACAACTTTATGTGAATATGCATAGTTATTGTATGAATATTATGTGAATATACATAAGTATGACTACTGTGTGAATATACATAATTTAGAAGTTTAGCTTGTTAGCATCTGATAAGTTTTTTTTATTAGTTTTCATTGTAAGCTTAAATACAGGAAAAACCTCAATTCTTCTTTTACCTTTTAATGTTTCTGCTTTTGAAGTGCTGTTGATGCCTGTGAGTTTTTACCTGTCTAGAAAAGGTATTTCTAGACAGAGCAGTGTATCTTGTGGAAGGATCTTCAACAGTCTGTTTAAAAGGAGTCTGAAGAAGCTTAATTATTGGAAGTCTCTAGGCCAAGGTTAAATCTGCCTGGAATGACAAGAGAGGGAAAGGGAAATTTGTAGGCAAAGGAGAAATATTCTGTTAAGACTAGCTGTGTAATTAAAAAAGCAAGCAGACAAAACAGGAAAGTTTTTAGGTACCACCATGTATGCCTGCAAGTCTGTCTCTTTTTTTCTTTCCTCCCCAACTTTGTCAGCTGATCTAATAAAATCTCTCTTTCTCTGTTTACTTTGGCCCAGAGATACTCATAGACATCACAATTGCAAAAGCACAATCACTACAAATGACATACAGAGTAAATCCTGTCTAATTGGGAAGCCACAGACAAGATGATCTTACTGTCACTTTCAGATTATGATCTATTTTGGGCTTTCTTAAATGCAATTTTGTTAATGTAAGTGAAGCTTGCAAGCCCCATCTCATATTGAAGTCTTTGCCTCTCGATTTTTTATAATAGCATAATCCAGGATTGTTTTTTGTTTGTTTTTATTGTTTGGGTTTTTCTTTTTTGTTTTTCTTTTTTTTCCAAAGAGCTTGTGGTTGATCTTGAAGTGATGTCGAAGAATGACTGCAGCTTCAAAGGCGTTACAATTTTAGCAATAACAATACCATTGAAAACTTGTGCTTTCAGGATCATCAAAGTTCTGCTGTTCTCCTTAAAAAGACAAATGGTCACTTATGATACAGTTAATCTTGGAGATTTTAGAAGAGCTGATTTAGTAGAGATATTTTAGTTTTGCATCCTAATGAATTTTGTTGATACTTGCTTTAGAAGAGTTGCCTATCCTCTTTTCTGTAGTTCACTAAACACATTCCGCTGGCAAAATTAAAGGCGTGGACATAACAGAAGACTTAGTATCTGCCTATAATTTAAGCAAAGACTTTAAGGTCCTTGCAGTGTCTTTTAATCAAAACCCTGGTTGGAAGTCTGTGATTCAGATACAGAATGCTTTGAAATATTCACCAAGCATAATACTTTAAACTGAGATAGTCCTCCAAGAAAAGCAAACACAAAGAACAAAAGCAAAGTAACGTCAATGAAATGTCCAAATCCACCAGAGCCAAAATTAAATAAAAAGAATACCCTTCATGGTGGAAAACTAACAAGCAAATACCAAATCACTAACCAAATGGCTTTTTCCACAGCTTCCTAAAACATAAAAGTTTTCGTATCCTAGCAAAGGTCAGGTCATTATGGAAAAAGATCGTTTTCCAGAAGTTGTGTTCAATAGGTAAATGTACGAGAATCTAAAATCTTCTTTTTTAATAGCTTTGAAGCGATTTCATGGCCCTTTACAATATCAAAGGGAGATGGAAGACATACAGCAGGAACGTTTTGCCTTAGATGGGGAGAAATCCAAGAAACCCTGGCAATTATTCACTGATCGTGGCGTGAGATGGCAGCTCATTACTGTGATTGTGATGACTATGGGCCAGCAGCTCAGTGGCATAAATGCTGTAAGATTTCATGATTACAAACTTAAATAACTGCTTAATTTCTATCTGTTTTTTAACCTTTTATCAAAATGGAGGATCCATATAGAGAAGCTCAGAGATATGGGATAAATGACAAAGAGTACCTTTTGTTTTATTCATGCTTATTAAATTGAAACAGATTTCTCCCCTGTGTCTTTGCAAAGGTAAGAATTAATTTGGTGTGTTGAATTTTAGGAAGGGTTTTATAAAATCTACCAAGTAGTATATAAACTTCGTTCAGTAAGGACCTAATACTTGTGTTTACATCTTCATGCTTCTGAAAAAGTAAATAAAGGTAGATCAGCTTATCCTGCTGTATAAAGCTAAAGAATGTTGAAGCTAAATAATCATATTTGCTTTTATGCTAACAACATATTTACCTAGACATTAAACTATATATTCTCTCTGCTGTCTGCATCATATTAATGTCACAATATAAAATATTTTCAGGTGTATGTTTAGTACGAACTTGACTTTGTCCCCAGCTGATGATTTAACTACTGGGAATGCCCCCCCCCCCTTTCTTTTTTAATTCTAGATTTATTTCTATGCAACTTACATTTTTAAACAAGCTGGGATCTCGGCAGATAAAATCCCCTACGTGACACTAGGCACCGGAGCTTGTGAATGCCTCACAGCCCTCACCTGTGTATGTAACAATTTTTTTTTTCTGCCTTCAAGCAAAATTGTTGCTCTTTACGATAGAAAAAGAACATTGATAAATATGTGGTCGGTATTGTAACAAAACATTATGTCTTGTCCATAGGGCGTACTGATTGACTGTGTGGGAAGAAGACATCTCATCATTGGAGGATATCTCCTTATGACCCTTTGGAGCGTTGTTTTAACATTCTCCCTGACTTACCAGGTGCAAAGAAGGGCTAATTTATATTACATGACATGACAATAGTGAGTGAAAATCTGTGCTGCCCTGTTAAGAGCAGAGTACTTCACAACTTCTTGCAGGAAGAGCTCCAACAGCGATCAACTCCGTTCAGATAGTATTTGATAGCGTGATAAATCCTTACCTGACTAAGGTAGGGTTAAAGAGCTGTAACCCTTTCCCCATCCACACCACTGAAGTTTAGAGCTTGCTTTGAACAGGTGTGTGTATCCCATGCGGTCACGTTTCTGGTCTGATGCTTGGAGGGATGGTAAGTCTACGGGCTACGCAGGTTGGCAAGCGGGCCACAGAAGTGGCACCTACAGGATGTAGGCCAGGCGAAAAAATAGTCAATTGACTCAGTCCGGCTTTAGGCAGAGCCTAGATTTAATTATTTTATCATAATTTTTATAAACTTCTAGTTTTCCTTTCAAATAACGAGGCTTCCAGCTTAGTATGGTGGTTCTAACACACCTAGTTTCCTATGTATGTCACTAGTAAGTGTAATGTTTCTTCACTGAACTACTTAACTTTATCCATACATAAATAAGTAAAAATCTGTTTATGCTATGAAAGTGCTTAATGATACTCAGACAATTGGCTAACTCATGAGATCACAGGGATTCATTCTCCTGAAATAAACACCAACAAAATGTTAAACTACTAATAACCCAGAATTGTTATGTTCAATATTAGTGTAAATTTGTAGCCTTAGAGGACTTTATAAATCTTGACAGAAGTACTAAACAGTATTTAATAAAAGTTATGAAATGAACAATATTTCTCTGAAGCTGTATTGCTAAATAAATTAGTGGTAAATAGCCAGGAGCAACTATTGGTCTTAGTTGCAATAAAATAGCTGTGAGAAAATGTAATTGTTAAGCCAGGCTTGAACACTGGGATAATCAAAACCTGAACTGAAACTTTTCATTCTCTTCCAGGAACTGTACTCATGGGTACCATATGTGAGCATGACATCTATATTTGCCTTCATTTTGAGCTTTGGGTTGGGACCAGGTATTACACAATAATAGGAGTTGATATGTGGTGGGATTGGTGTTTGAGGGGGGGGGAAAAAAGTCAGTAAGTCTGCTATGCAAGCCAGACAGTAAGTATTTACTGTAACGCTGCTGATGCTGTGGCTAACGGAATAAAAGTGGTCCTATCTCATCAGAACGGAACAGTCTCATATAACCTGAAACACACTTTGAGGCTCCTAGTGCATTCTTCTCAGGGCCAGATAGGCATGAGGGAAGTCTTAGTTCTGGCCTGTGATATAGTCACGTCACACAAAAAGCAAGAAAAAAACGTGTCATGCTTTTAAGTGGACACTAGCTCCCTGAGCAGTCCCGCTGAAATAGGTCCACTTTTTAGGATGCTTAAAGTGTGGATGATAGATTCAGAATTTTGAAGGTAAGAATATATATATATATATATATATATATATAAATTAATAGAAGCAGATCAGCTAGTGGCATATTCAAAAGCAACTCCCTTTTTTGGCCTCAAACATACCCTGAAAAAGCATGCTTAGCATAATAACCTATTGTCTTTCTGAAACTGATTCCCCTAGGTGGCATAACAAATACGCTGACAGCTGAATTATTTATACAATCTTCACGTCCTGCTGCTTACATGATAGGAGGTGCTATTAGCTGGATTAGTTTCTTCACAATTGGAATGCTCTTTCCCTTTATAGTGGTAAGTATCTATAACATTTCCTGCTTGCCTCACTTCCCTTTTCTTCTTCTCTTGGCTTTCATCAAATTTCTTTTTCTTATACCATAGGATGTGCCCAAACCCTCAACAGAGTATAACTAGATTTAGTCCCTCTTAAAATATTTTTAGATATCTAAACAATAATAAAACATGACAAAATAATTGAAAAAGTATGTATGAGGGGTAATTCTCATGCTCAGACTCAAAAAATGGAGACGGTATCAAAATTAGAAAAACTTAATTAGATGCTGAGATTCAAATAACACATTTCTTAATAGCTTCTCTTGCTACTGTCAAAGTAGAAGTAGTACCTGAGGCTAGTAGCTCACTTCTTCTCTTAGGTCTCACTAAATTCACTTACGCAGGGTTCTCTGACCAGAAAGAACGTTAGGAAAAACAGTATAGGCTTTCATTTCTAGCCTATTACTTCCTGTTTTAGCAGTTATTCTTGAGAGCATACAAGAACTGCATGCAGCAGGGTATCTCAATTTAATAATCCTTTTTTCTTGGTTGAAATCTGCTGTTGAACAAGTTATTTATAGTTAAAACCCTTCATAAACATTTATAAAAAGATAAATTTCAACTCTTAAAATGAGACAGTAAAAAAGTCTAAGCAACTTTTATTTGAGCAAACAATGAGTTGTCAGTTTGTCGTGTTCAAAAAGTTTTTGTAATGAAAACTTGTCAGATTACTTTCTAAGCCTATGCATGTATAACTCACGAGTGTGTGTGTATGTGGGGGGTGGGGTGGGGTGGGAAAACAAAACCTACTTTTTAAATGAAAGACTACCAAGTGTATTGCAGAGCACTTAGTAGTCTTGTCTTCAGGAGAAAAAAAATCATATGTGAAGTAATGGTAATAGGTGGACTTTTTTTTTTTTCCCTCTAAATCTGGGTGGCAATGTTAGGTTTGACTGGAAAGAGAAAGCTTTATATTTTCAAAAATACATTGTGGTACTTGACATGTTGTAATCAAACAAACGTATTTTATTTTCAGAATGGACTGAAACAGTATTGTTTTCTGGTGTTCTTAGTGGAATGCACCTTAGTTGCTGCTTTTATCTTTGTTGTAATTCCCGAGACAAAAAACAAATCTTTTCTGGAAATCAAGAAGGAATTTAACAAGCTTAATTTTGGAAGAAATACCAAAGAGAAGGAAACAGAGCTGCATGAAAGAAGACAACTCCATGATGAATTTTAAAAAATTCTGTGCAACCTTACAGCTCTAACATAACTAATTTAAAGAGAATTATGAATAGTCTTCTAAATTAGCTATATGAACAAGTAGCTTATTAACTTCTGAACATGCAGATGGAGTTTAATTAAAAGGCAAGTTAATATTGCTGAAATGCTATTAAAAATACATATTATACTATATACATAGACTCAATGTTTAGACACAAATTACTATTGTACTAATGTAGACATGCAGGGAGAAGCGTTCAGTGGATTTCCCTTATTTTTTGCAGATTTCTTGAGACAGCCAATAAGACTAAGTAGCTCTTCTTTTATTTCTAAGCCCAGTCTTCAGATCCAGATAATCAAATAAAATATAAATAAAACATAGCTAGTATTCTGTGGACTTAAAACCCAAATGAGAACTGACCTACTCAGAAACTGATATTTCAAATGGTCTAGTTAATATAAAGCTTGAGGTATTTAGTTACTGTTTTTCAATTAAGGAATTCCTTTGAAAGATTTCAGGACCTTCCTCCCTCCGTCCTACTGTTGTAACAATACAAGGACAGTCTATCCCATAGGAGTAAAGGCTGTAAAGCACCTATTTGAATTATCCTTATTGGTAATAAAGTTTATTAGACAGGCTTATTTCCTAAAATGGTACTACATAACAGTTTGTAGGGAGGAAAAAAAAAAAAAAAAAACCTCAACCCCCAATCTAGCATTTTAACATTTTAAACTGTGTGACAGGGTAAGACCTGCATTGGTTATGAGGGTCAATTCCTAGCATACTGAGCTCAACATCATAAAAAGCACTAAGTAGCAGAGAGGACAGACAATAGAGATTAAATACATTTCACCTTTGAAGACCTTCCAAAGTGATCCGGTAGAACACAGACAAGGAGACTATTACATAGAGCTTGGAGGACCTGTGGACTGAGTGAGCTTTCTGCTTAATCTTCAACATTCCATACTGGACTTTTCCTCAAAATAAAATAAGTTCTTAACGTTTTAGTAGCTCAAAAATCTTGCTTCCTTACTGTGTTTGTATGCCTGTCTGATACTAATTTCAATACCTATAGCCTTTGCTAAGATGGTAGTCCTACCTTATCTATTACAATTTTTCCTGCTTATAAGCATTCCCTACTTCCACCTGTTACTTAATCAGTGTTGCAGTAAGCACTGTGTTTCTTCTTTGTTAACTTTCCTTCTCTCAGAATCAAGACTTTTAACAAAAAAACAGGAGGCAAACACCATTTTTCCAGTTTTGGCTACTGAATCAAATGTTTAATTGACGATAACTAACTCCTAATGGTAAAGGAAGCAAGGAAGCAGTATCAGGAAGGGATCTTCTTGTTCTTTAGTTTATCCTCTAAGTTTGCAAAATATTTCATTTTGGCTAGAAGCTTCTTAGCTTCTTGAAGATCATCTGAAACGAAATAAAATATTACTACTACATAGAATTACTGCCTCACAGATGACTGAATTTTCATTTTCAAGACAAATCTCAACACTTTACCGGAAACAACTGTTTCGGTATTAAAACTAAGAGTTTTAAGGACCCATACACTATTAAAACAGTGTTACATTATTTTCATTTCAGAAGGTTTTGGGTGCCTCAATTCAGTTGTTCCACAGAACATGTAAAAGAATGTCTGGGACAAACGGCTTACACGTGAAAAAAGAAACGTGACACAAACACCCTTTAATGACTTTCCTGTAAAGTGGCTATAGTGTTGATGTAGTAACTGTGGAAGTTTAACTATATAGACAAGTTTTCTTCCCCTCTCCCCTCCCGCCCCCAATGTATATGATTAGACCAACTGTTGTCATTGAAAAATGCAAAATATTTGGTGCACTCAGGTTCAGATAGAGGCAATTACAAACCTAGATTGAAACAATTGCTTCTTACTTAAACCACCTTTCCCTTCCAGTTACGTAATTGTTTATCTCCTGCTGACAAGGATAGATGCAAGGCTGTCCGTAACTTTCATGGAACAAGGAGTAACAGATTATATGGTTACAATTCTTCATTTGCAGGTCTAGTTACCGCTACTTTCCGTTTGGTACTGCATGAGTTAACTATTACAACACACGCTACATAAACTTAACAAAAAAAACCATTCTGAGACCCATCAGAAAAACGTTAAGCTTTCTTCCCTGTGTAGTAAGCTAGTTTGGATTGGTTCAAGCTCCTGTCTGTCAACTGGTTATGTTGGTCACAGTTATGTTAATGATGGCGTCCCTAAAACCTTAAGCCTAGCTAAATGTGGATCATGTCTTCTTTTGCTATACAGGTTCAGTTGCAACCAGCAGAAGCGTTCCTGCTCGTTTTGTTTTTTCAGCAAGTGACCAAAACAAAACAAAAAAACCCCCAGCACCCAGATGCTATTTTGTTAACAGCATCAGGTCTGCAGAACACGATTCCCCAAATGCAAGTTTGAAGCCTTAGATTTTAATTTGAAGTTTTATTAAGAAAAGATTCTGTCCTTCCCAATATTTTGGAAAAGAAAAAAAAATTATTAGTGTCTGGGATGTGTTTGAAGTGATCATTTTGATGCAACTGGAATTAACTGGAAATCGTGTATTGGAGCTTTTGGGGTATTTACCCGCTGCCCCCCGCATGAGGTCTGGCATTAGAGGAAAGGTCAAGTTAGAAGTATTTATTTTAAACATCCAACATACAACGCTTGTTGAGGTGGTGAATAATTCAGAAAATATTTGCCAGTAAGAGGATGGGGGTTGTTTCAAGCATTTATTACTGATATTATGGCAGCTAAGTACTTAATAGAAATAACTACCTCTTTCAAAAGCTGCAGTCAACTCTTTGGTCAGTTCTTCTTTTTTAACTGTAAAAAAAATATTCACAATTTGTCGCGTACTTAGCATATTTAATACCACTGCATTATGATTGCCCGTGTGGGACACTTTGATACTTGTATCATCATTTTTTGGGAGCCAAGCGAGCTTTCTGTATTATTGGTGTCAATTACTTTTACTATCATTTCAAACATATGCTTTGTTTAGACAGGTTTTATGGACAGTGATGCCAATGGTCACTAGCTTCTTAGAAGTCTAGCTTACTTTCAGAATTTCAGTTTACCCTGCTACAATTAATTTTCTTTTATTGTAATAACTTTTTATTCTAATTATTCTAATTGCTTTTGACATACTGTTGTTACTACAAAGAATGAAAAATAGCAATGAACTCATGTTTTGGATATCACCAACCATAACAAAATAAACTTGCTAGTGTAAGGATAACGATCATTTAATAATGATAGTTACTAAGCTGAAGAAGATTACTGCAAAAACAGTATGAAGATAGTAATTGCGTTTGTATATTATGTCACGGTTACTTGCATTAACACGTAGAGAAACTATTCTGCTGATAGGCTTAAGTCTCCTCTGTACCAAAAAGCTTTGACAGAAACTGCACGTCGCATCACACTTTAAAAAAAAAGGTGCAGCAGGCAAAGATTTGTTCAAACTCCACAACCTTATCACCATCAGTTTATACCGACATCTTGCCTGGATTCTCCACTACCACCGATTCATGAACTGCCTTTTAATGAAATATTTTATCAAGTTGTCGTCTGTATTCACCAAAATACTCAACGTTTTCAAGTGGAAGAGAGAACCCAGTGAAAGTCTGGAAGTCCTGTCATTGACAAAGGACCACTCTTGGTAGAAAATAGTACTCAGTTTGGGCTCCTTCATCACACATTTATCTCCTTGAAACCAGGAGATACCCTGTGGTCAGTTAAGTATTTTATTAAATCCCATTTTGAATGTTCCTTCCTTTAGAACAATCGAATTGCCCTTATCCGCTGAACAAGAATTTCCTTTTTATAATCAATACAGGTATACCTATATACCTTCAGAATAGGTACTCTCATGCAGATTTTCTGAAGCCAGATTTGACTTTCAGGTGGCATAAATTGGTAAAGATAACTTTTCTTAAAAAAAAAAAAAAAAAAAAAAGGTGCTTTGGAGCAAGTCAGTTCAAGTCTAATGCAAGTAAGTGATAAGACACTAAAAGAAATGCACTGAAAGAATTAAGAGTCTTAAGAGAGACTAACTTATTTTCATGTTATAAAAGATACAGGAATGTAAATTACTTCTGTACAAAACTGCTAGATTGCAACCTACCTTTAATTAAGGTTTCAGTTTCTTCAAGGGTACCCTCATTATTAGGCTCTGCTAATTTCTCATTAATTTCCATGATTTCCATGAGAAACTCCGGATCAGCATCACAGTCCGTCTCTTGTGCCAGCTGTATTCCATTCAGCTCCAGCTTATGAAGAAAATGGGAATTAGGAAACCCATGTTCATACATCTATTTCTATGTAAACGATATTCTAAAATACTAAGTCTTTACTAACTTGCACAGACTCCTGTCTGGTAAATTTCAGGTATGTGAACTTACTCAGTGAAGCCTGCATTAACAGAGTCTGTGTTAAAATTAACTCTACTGGTAGACCCTAAAAACAAGCAGTTAATCAAAGCCAAGAAAAGGTAATGAAGACCGCAAAGAAGACTGCTTCAGCAGACTGAAGACTGTTTTTCATTTTTCAAATGAAAAGCAACAGCTATAGCCAAAGAAAACGCGCAAAACACATACTAAACTAGTGACATAAGCAGGAAGCGAGATTACAGCAATCAGCAAAGTGTTAAAGAAAACAGTGCTCTATAGAAAGGCTGATAACTTTCAGACAAGCTTGTTTCTGGTCTCCCTTCAGTCCTGTTTCTTCTTCAGAGGAACACGAATTAGCTAGCACGTTAGCGGTGGAGTCTGAGACAAAGTTTATAAAGCTCTGATTCATTACGTTACCACCAAAAGCCCTAACCACCCACAACTAGTTATGAGAGTATAAATATAGTATGCAATGGAAACCTCACTAGATAGAGGCCGCGGCTCAAAGGATTCAGGAGAGTCTGGTAGGCTTTGTTGATCAAGGAAGAGTGCTGCTCAGAGTAATACTGTTCTTTCTGTCAACAGAAGATAAACAATACTCAGTAGCAAGTTATTCATAGTAATAAAGGACAAAATATATTATTACACTTAAGTCACCTGCAGATAAAAAAACATTTCCACAGCAGTACATGTGTGTAAAACTGAAAGTTCATTTTTTAACAGAAGTAAAATACAAAGAACGGGGAGAGGACTGCCCAGAACCGTACCTCTGCCATCTCCCGGGACGGACCAGGCCAAGGGCTGGTGGCGACGGGATCTGCCGCCCGCTACCGCCCCCCAGCCAGCCC